TAAAAATTAATATTTAATTTATCAATTATTTAATTAAATTTATTTATTTAATACTAATATTAAAATTAATATCAATTTTTAAAATTTTTATATTTATTTATAATAAAAAATACTCTTAATTTATACTTTAAAATACAAGTTAAAAAAACTTCATAACCATTAATAAGAGAAGAGTTTTGATATTAAACGTGGCCCTTCATTATATGATTGTCTAGAAAACTCCTATTAATATATGTCCTTCCACTATAAATATTTCCTTCAGCCAATTGCCAGCTATTATCACAGTGTCAGAAAATGATAGATCAAAATGGTACAAAAACCTTGATCGAATAGTAAAACATAATTAAAATCCTTTTCTTGAGTCAAACAAATTATGAGTACTATGAGATGGGAACATCAAGAGCTGTCCCATATAAAAACTTAAATAATGCCGAATTAGAAATTAAACTATGCATTCCTGCAATAGGTAATTTCTGGAAATATATGATTGTCTTTCCTTTTTCTTTCTCCTTCTGCATTTCATTTTTTTATCCAGAACTCCTTTTTGCATTTATAGGTGCTATAGAATCTTCCTGAGGATAATAATATTGTTTTGTACAGTATTTATTTATAACTCTTATATATTATCATTAAATAATAAATACACATGCACCCGCTGCTTTAACTGTGTTGATTTGATGCACCTAACTCTTGGCTTAAGCAAGAGTTCAAGCTACAATAGTAGCCTTTTATCCCCCTTTCTCCCAAATTTTTTCATGTTTAAAATAATAATAATACTAATAAATACATATAATATTACAATATTTATTAAATAATTTTATAAAAAAATTATACATAAAAGTTGGTTCTTAAATCGATGCATAAATGTTTAATAAATGCTGTAGAACTAAAAAAAGAAAAAACTACCTAGGATAGATGTATGAAAATCTACCTCATTAGCTGAGATATAACCATCTTGATCTTTATCAAACACTTGAAAAACTTCTTTCAGTTCCTCCTCTGCATCTGTTTCCTGTTTTCTCAGACAGTTTTTTAAAAGTCATTTTCTAAAACAATTTAGCATTCAAAGAGCATATACTAATGTACAACCCATTTTGGCCTAATGGGTGATGTATTCGAATCCCATATAACCCTTTTCTTATTATTCCAATTAATATATGTAAATAATTTTAATTTTTTTTAAAAAAAGCATATACTAATAAAAGACATTGATTATATACAGAACACCAATCATTAAATAAGGGTCATCTCTAAATGTTGAGGACCCCTCTGCCACTTTTTCGTAACTATGTATACTGATATATTTATACCTTCATCTTCTTGGCCATCAAGTTTAAAAACTCTACAAACTCTATAGTCCCATTGCCGTCGGTATCAGCTTCAGTTATCATGTCCTGAAGCTCCTTCTCAGTCGGGTTTTGATCCAGGGACCGGATCACCGTTGCCAATTCTTCCACCGTAATGCAACCTAGAAAATGAGTCCGCCATTAATAAACCCACGGAAGAGCTTAACAATCCTAATAATTCATCAAGTATAAGCAAAAACTCACCATCAGCATCATTGTCAAAGAGACAAAAGGCTTCTTTGAACTCGACAATCTGTTCCTTGGTCAGTACTTCTGCCATACTGCTAGCTGTTTGGTTTCCTGGAAAGTGTGAGTGAAAGAGAAAGAAAGAGAAGCAAAAACAGAGAGAAAGAGGATGTGGGTTTGTTTGAGTATGGCTCAAGCTTTAGCTGGGCTTTATGTAGAGATGTCAAATGTGCAGTTTTCTGTCCCCAAAGATGGGTATGAAATATTAGGAGTCCAATCAAAGCTTGTTGATTGGTTTTTGGTTTCATTACAAAGAAGAATTCACATTTCCATCCCCTTTTTCCATCCTCGGTTTCTCTGACCACTTCTCATTTCTTAGTATGAATTCTCTTGGAAAAATCAGCCCAAAACTTTACCAAACACAATTTTGTTTATTTGTGAATTTTACTCATTCAGATGCCTCCTCTTTTTGTGAAAAAGAAAAGATGTTTACTTGTGGACACTAACCGACCAAGTGATCTGAATCATTTACACCCAATTATGAAAAACATGAACACCAACACGAGAATAACATTAATCTTAACGTCATAATAAAGTGGAGTTTCGAGTTTTGCAATTTTAACTGAAAAATTGAGCCTTATGATAGCTTCCGATATTAAGAAACTCATATGAAATCATATGATGATAAGTATTATATAGTTAGAATTATACAACATATATATTTTTTAGGGAGTAATACTCCAAGAGTAAAAGTGCAAAAAGGATGTGAATTTTATATTTTTTTTATTTAA